TTATAATAATATTAAGAATATTTAATAAACGGTGGATGCCCCTGCTCTTTTCCTCCCCCCCTCTTTCTGAACAGCCCCAGCAGCAGCAGTAAGACGTGGGGATCGAGGGACGGCGCTGCTATTTTCATCGTTATCAGAAAATGATCATATAAGGGCACCACCGAGCCGTTGGACCCCCAGAGCGGTTGGCGATAACTGCCTCTTAACCCACCTTGGCGACCCGTTACCGGTAGGTCGTTTTAGGGTCGGTCGGTCGTCCCCCCCACCCACCCACTCACAGAGCGGAGCAAGCAACGCAAACTTAAAATAATAAGCAGCCATTTTTTTACGGCGCGCTATGCCATGGGGGCCGGCCTTGTGGGGTTTCTGCGACATTTCGTTTCAGTAAAATTAAAGGGTGTTTCATGTTGCTCGTTGGCTTGCGAAACCTTCTTAATGCCTTGGAAATTGGCGGCCGTTTAATACTTTTTAATAGCCTTAATTTTCGCTAAATTGATTTATCAACTTTTAATACTTTTTAAGACCCCGCGGACACCCTGTGTCTGCAGTGCGCCAATGTACTTAGCCAATGACAGAATGAGCTGTCGGTGTTTTCTTTGCTTGGGAGGTGTGTGATTTGCAGCTGTGTGTTCCAGAGTACAGTGGAGTTTACGCACACACAGGGTTTCCACGGCAACTGGGAACAAAGCACAATGCTGCCGCTAAAGATGACCGCGGCAAACAGAGGCGCGTGTTTGAAATTTAAATTGTCTTCTCATAGAGGTCAAAGTGAGCCCATCCTGGCCCCCCTCTGACTGGCACTTCAACAGGCTCCCTGCTTAATCCACAGGGCCTTTGTACCATCAGAGGGGCCCTATAGCCGGGGATTTACAGGGGCTGAATTCACACAGTGGGATCATTGAAAACGAACCTATAAACAAAGCCAGCAATACTGCTGAGATTAAACAAACAGGCTTCTGACACTCACTCTCACGAAAGCCATTTCCAATTTTACCCAATGCAAGCTTAACTTCACTCGTACACATTCATAGGCCAATAGGCAAAACACATCTTACATTATATCCCACTTTAGTCTACATATCAGCTCTCTTTGTGGTTTACTAGAAAGCTCTACGGCAGACGCGATGGCTACACATAACTGGAGTGCTTTTGAAGAATGTAGCATGAGGACAGATTTAGAGGTGTGTGCTCTAAAATGTACAGAGAATTAGAACAAAGTAGGAAGTGACACCTGCCAGGTTTCCATCCAAAAGGTATGAGGAATTTGCAAAACATAAATAAAAATGATTGTTCGTTTCCATCAAGTTGTTATGGGATTATTAGAAATTCTTTGAGGAATGCAGAATGAAATGCAAAAGAAGACACAATGATGGATTAAAGCGTCATTCCGACATCATATAGTGAAACACTTTTTAGTTTCATGTATATATGTGAGGATGATCACTTAAGATCTTTGTTGAGCATTGAAATTAACAATGTCTCCCTCTTTGGAAGCCTGCGGGGAAATTCGTGCTTTTTTTGTAGGAACAACATGTTTTGCACATTTTGCTTATTTGCTTCTTCTGGGGAGTTAGGAGGTACGCCGTGAGCTTGCGTAATATTATTTGCATGAGTCTATTGATGGAGTAATTTTTTTTTTAAGTTGCAAGAAAACGCATAAAGTGTGCAAAGCTGTGGAGATACTGATTTGTTTCATTGGTGTTCTTTGACTGCCTCAACACAACTTCAAAGGAGTCCTCATCCACTTCTCCAGGGAAAAGTTCAGAGATGGTGTATGACAGAGTGAAAAAGTATGTGTCATCTATTGTGAAGAGATGAATGTTGTAGGGACAATCCTTCATCACTTCCGCTTTAGGGGGGGGGGGGCAAGCTTACGATTGACAGGTCAATAACAAGCTTATGGTCTACTCTAGGTTGTCCGGTCTAGTGATACGTTACTTAGTCAATAAATAGTGAAAGAAACCCACATCCAACGTACCACACTTAACTTTTTAAACGGTTATGAGTCCACTATCAGGGCATACACAGTGCACTGCATTTTGCCATATTAAGCATCAGTAATGAATTAGGATGCACTCAAAACTAGTTTAAGGAGTACCTTATTTGATACAAAGCATCAAAGTCTATGGTGCTAACTAGCAAAGAATGGCATGCTACTACTACCACTACTGAAATAATTATAATACAAGTTATAATGGTTGATCAACCATCTTCTTGTCCCCCCCCCCGATTCTTTCATAGACTGTAAAGGCTATATTTACAGATGTAAGTCCCAATACACAGGCTGGTTATTGCAGGAGCACTTCCCATAAAGGAAGGTACTTCAAAGGACCAGAAGGCCACGCTGAACCTGCTCCGCCTACCCAAACAAGACAATCGAGTCTAAAGCTAATTTCTCCAACACACATTTAATTATGGGTTACAGACAAGTGCAAAGTATACACTGCTTGTGTCATTGAAATGTAGGAGAAGCTATTGAAGGGAGGACAAGCTTTCTTAGGTTTTGGTTTAAATTCATTGGGGGACACAGGTCCTTAAGTGGTCCATTACCACCTCTCACAGTGGCACAGCGATTCACTCACATCTGTCACTGCGGTTTACAGGATATCATTTCTTTTTTTACTGTATATAAATACAAATGACTAAAGCACTTTCCATAAATGAAATATGGTAAAAACAGAGTTAGGGTGTCAAAAAACGACAAACTGCAATGACTAAAACATTTAGTTTCCTCCATTTTCCTCTAAAAACAAAGTACATTTATATGATTTCTTGTGATCTTAAATAAATGATGTCATTGTCTTGATATAAAAAACATTTTTTACTACTTAAAATTAAAGTAGTATTTGAATGAGTTAAACAAGCAAATACATTTCCATAAATTAAACATAATGGGATTAGGCCTATGTCTCTTAAAACAACATTTGTTATTTTGAGATACAGACATAAAAAACTACCGGTAAATGCAATAACCTATCATTTGCAAATCAGTTGTAGATCCTTCGAATGAAAAAAAGAAAAAAAGAAATCTGCATTCCTTTTGGACCCCTTCCAACAATTTAATAGACTTTAATCCTTGTAAAACGCAATGCAAAGGTTCAAAAAGCTACCCATTCACTTGGGTTATGTAAAGCAGTTAGAGTGGAATTGCAGGAAGTGAGTGGCAGCTCGTCTAAACAACTCTGCCAAATCGTGACAAGTCAGGCAGCATTCAGGAACACAGGTGACAAGTTTTCTCACGGCATCGGTACACTAAGTAAACAGTTACCTCACACATAAACTTCCTTGCAACACTGCCTGGCACCGTCCCCACTCCCTGCCTCCTCCCTTCTCAAAGGCTTTACCTACTTTGCCCTGTCCATTCAATTTAGACAGCGTAACTGTTTGGTTTAAGAACCTTACACATTCCATTAGTGGATATAGGATTAGGCATTAAGCTTTTTTTTAAAAGCTGTTGCTCTTAATTAACTAAACAAACACGGCCTTCTATTCCACTTGACGTCTCGGGTGCTGCGGTATGTGCAGTAGCTAATGCTAATTATTCCCTAACGAACGCAGCAAGCTGGGCTGCTGGCTAAAGCAGGCATTTAGGATCTGCTTTCCATACACACACACACACACACACACACACACACACATATAAAGAAAGTAACTTCATGATCTCAATTACACAGGACACTAATTCAGCTAACAAATGTTAACACATTATACAAACAAGCAAGTTAAGCGCACAGCTTTGTGTTTGTGTTTTTGCTGTAGCTGCATTAAGAAGACTTTGCAGTTGGTTTCAAATCTCAACTTTTGCAAGCTTATCTCAGAGCTGCATCTGGTGCAATCTGCATCTCTCCACTCCAGCCATGGATTCCATGTATGATCAGGAGTCAAGTTTTGACATGAGCGATGTTCCAGATGAGGAATGCACCACTGGGGCCTTTACAAATACAAACGGGATCCATGCCATCAGGCCCACTCTGCACAACTAATTAAAAGCAAGGGGATTTTTAACAGGGCAACAGGGGAGGTAGGCAGGGCGGAGGGGGGTGAGGTTCTCCCAATTTCCTTTTGTCTGAGAATAACCTACGGCAACAGAATTCCCCTGAACTTAATGTTATACTAAGGACCATTCGGAGGGAGAATTATTAGTCATACTGAAATGTCCACTAAGTTGCTTTGTTTTTTTAAATGTATTTCTTTGTCAAACAATAGACCACAGCCAAGAACGCAAAACAGGAAATTCAGACAAATGTTGTTACACACAAATCCACCTCATCACACCACAAGTATCACCAGCGTTATCCCTGGAACTAAATATGTGCAGCAGTAAATATGTGCAGCTCATCCTCTCACCACCAACATAGAACAGCAACTGCAGTACGGGAAAATGTATCTCACTATTCCAGAGTTACTGTGGAATAATGTGATTAACCAAACACGAGCAAAACATGGCATCAACCTGCAACAAGCTAGTCCCGCCCTAATGCATAACCAGCTCTATTATCTCGTTTGATGCCCTATTATGCTCTTGGTAGTTTTCCCTTCCCTGTAGTGTGTTCTATAGGTTTTTGTGCATGTAAAACGTCTGCAAAGGCTAAAATCCCTGAGGTTGCTCGTTTGGTGAACTGATAACACTCACATTAAATTCAGTCTGTGTTTTACCCGGTGTTTTTTTCTAAGAAGTTCTTGCTAAACTAACCAAAGAAGTGCCTCAGTAAACACAGAGGAATGGCAGCTCCGGGGCCCGAGACGTCACTCAAAGGCACAGCCCCCTCATCACCTCTCATCTGGGGAAAGTACCTGTGTTTATGCTTTCATTCTGTCTCGTAGAATGAACTGAAACACTTTGGATCCAACCACGCTCAATGAAAGCAAGTCACATGTTATAAAACTGTATCAAGTGTTGTTGATTGGTTAGCCTTTGAAACTGAAGCTCTAAAGACTTTATTGAACGGAACAAAAAGTAGCTTTTGAATGTGTAAAGTAAGGAAACAAGTCAAACGTACCACTGATGACTTTCAGCACATGTAGGGTTCAGGGACACTGCCTCCTCACCAACTCTCTTCCCTAAGAGGAAAGAAGAGATAGGGATACTTTAGATGAAGATGCTCCAAAACAAAACCAACATTCTCAAATGACACAAGAGGGTTTTTTATTAAATGAGAAAAGAAAACAGGATGTACGTTAATAAAGGCCGGCACTGGATTAAAGCAATGAAAACAAAAGTGATACGTCCAAGAATAGAGCTCTGTTTTAAATCATTCACCACTCAGTGGAAAGTCGAACATTCTAGCGGCTCTATTAATATCTCAGTGAATGTCAAATATGATTAGCTGATGCTTTAAATATCCCCTTCTCTAACTTTGACAAAGGTGTGACAGGAAGCACCTGGCCAGCTCTGATTAGAGGCACATTGGTGATAAAGATTTACAGAGAAACAAGTCAGTCCAGTCTGAACTTTAGCAGAATAACAAAACAGCCTATGTTTGAGATCAAAGCAAAAAGCACAATGGTACACGGAACAAAGTCTTAGTGTAATACAAGAGAAACCTGGAAAGTCCTACTCTGTTTTTAAAGAGCATTTGGGAGATCGTGTTGAGTGCATAACCTAAGTCAAGCTGCATCCACATGAAACGCGGTGAAACGGCTCTTTGCTAACTTTACCGTTGTGTTCCTATGGAGAGACCCTCTGTGTCACGCAAATTGTTGCTGAGCCCTGCCCTAAAAGTTCAAAATGATTTCATCTTTGACCTTGTTTACTACTGACCTTTCAAAGCTTAATCAATCAGATGACAGTTGTATGAAGTGGCGCAAGCTAGCAAGGAGTATAACCATAGAAACAAAACTTGACTAGCCGTTTTCACAGCAAGGCTCTGTGCAAAACCTCGAGGTGTGCAAAACAATTATTGCATATAATGTAAAGGCAACTTAAGCCTAGGCTAAAAAAAAATCTGTCTGTATAGTATACATTTTCAGCCATGACAGATGAATATTCAATCAACTGTGTGCATTGTGCTACAATGTGAATAGCAACAAATAATACATTTTCCAAATGTTTAAAGGGGCCCTATTATGGTTTTTGGATTTTCCCTTTCCTGTAGTGTGTTTTATAGGTTCTTGTGCATTTAAAGGGTGTTTCTCTCCCACACACTCCCCCCCCCCCCCGCCTGCCTGAAACGCCTCCATTGGATTCCTTTGTTAACTTCCGTAACATCACTGTAACACTTACGCTTCTTAAGGCTAGTACCCCATGTGACATGCTTCAATATCATATCGTCATATTTAGATTCTTATATGTCTATAGCAGCCTTTCCCAAACTCAGGGTCGCGACCCATTTTGATTGGGTCGCCAGTTAAATGCATTGCTACACACACACACAGCGTCAGAGCTGATGGCTGCGTTGCAAATAATGTTTTTTATAATTTGTGTATGTTATTTTGAAAATGAAATTATGCAATATAGCATTGTATATTGAATGATTTAATTTTCTAAATACAAATAAACTAAAAATAAAAGATTGTATTTGTATCAGCTCTGACGCGTCCCCCGCGAAAGTTTTCGCGCTGTCTTTTTATTGTCTGTTGATTAATCCCGATCGTACATGATGGCAAAAAGACGATACAAAGAGGAGTTTTTAAACGTTGGCTTCACAAAAGCTGTTAGAAATGGAGAGGAGCGGGCTCAGTGTGTTTTATGTGGAGAGGTGCTCAGTAACGAAAGTTTGAAAATGAATAAATTGGACCGGCATCTCCAAACAAAACACTCCTCTGCATCGGGACAAATCGAAGCATTTTTTCATCTACAAAGAAGAGTCTTTCAAGAAGCAGTGTTTTGACGGCGGAAAAGTAAGTCACTCATTTTAATCATTTGTTTTGTGTGTTTGTGAGTTTGTCAGGGTCTGTTGTGAAATTGTTTCGTTAATGCAAAGTTGGATGAAATGCAGACTGAGCCCCGGAGCGGACCGCCAGCTGCGCGCTCTCGCTCGTCCTCTACTCGCTCCCGCGAGTCCACTACATTCTGCAGCGGCACAGAGCGGTGTTTCAACTTTTACTAGCCTGAAATGTTTTTAAAACGGCCGGGAGAAAAACAGAGAAACAATAACCACAGGAAGATTAGAGGGAAAGTGACAGGCAGTATGAGAAGGAAAGCGAGAGAAAGTATC